ATGTGGCATGAGAGGACGGACGGTGTTGAAGCGTCGCTGGCAATACTACTAAAGACAACATCACCAAAGAGAATATCACTGAAGGCGGTTCTTCAGGAGGCACAGCCGCGATTCTTCATGGGAGTGAGTTCAGGCTTGAGCCGTGTGGGAGAAACAGACCTCGATAACTCACAGTAAAAGACATGTTTTTTTGTGAGTACAACAGGAAGGTTTCCCGATCATCTTTGCAGTGTGGGGTATGATACCCTCCTCAGAAGGAAGGTATGAACAAAGAAAACTGAACTTGTTCCCAAAAGCTGTTTATTTTTTACTCTTAATTGTTACATAGAACCTAGGCTTATGTAACGTGTTAAGACATCAAACCAATCGTATACCTGCGACACTTATATGTAAGTGTATGCATATGAAAGTGGAATGATATCTGATCACGTGACAACCCCAATATCTGGCGCATAAGGCGGAGAAGCCAAACTCTGGGCATGTCACACCCTAATCATCTGCTGATGATGAGGGCGATATTCTCATTTGTAAATTGTACCTTGAACATTTGGAATAATGATATTGATATTGATAAAAAGAATGGTAACAACAATAGATGATGATGACGATGACAATGACGATGATCATGACACTATGATAATGACAACGATTATGGCGAGGAGGATTATAATGATGGTGGTTTTTGTGGTGGTGATGGTGATGATCATGACGATAATGATCATGATGATGATGGTAATAATTACCATACTATGTTTTGAAAAGGGAGGTGGTATCCATGGTAACCGGAAAAGGCCAACTCATCGCGATAAGATAAGCTCTAAATCACGCGCTGAGGTCCGCCGCCTCGCCCCTCTTTATCCTGACCTTTCTCCTGACTAATTATGCACTGACTGTTTACTTTGTTGTTCAGCAACCAAAAGAGAGCAAGCAAGTTGACTGCCTTTATCATCTATCGTCTAATTATAGGATGCGCTGATATCTGGGCTTTGGACAGTGCCAATATTTATATTGTAACACTACAAACATATCGATATTTACTCGGTCGATGCCAGAATTTAGGTATGTAGGAATATTATTGATATTTACAAAGTCTAATGCAAGGAAAATACTTCCGAAGGGCAAGAGTGTGTTGCTAAAACAGTGAATAAAGATGTGTAAATAACTTTTGTGTAAAACATAACCAATGCTGAGTTCATTCCCTTTTGACCAGTATGAGACAAATGGCCAATGGAGAACTTTTTTCGTTTTCCAGTTAAATCTCTATTAGTATTCATTTACCAAACTCCTTAATTATGTTTCTCCCTTTAACAGAGCATAAAATTCAATTCGATATTAGGACGAGACTGTCCATATATGCTGTGCAGATTGAACTCGGCAAAACTGTACTTACTCGACAGTCATATTATAATTAATCTGTTCTTTACTAAAAAGAAACAAAAATTGTCTCATATTTTCCCATCCTGTTTGAAATTTTGATTGTTTACAAGAAGACGGCTGTTTTTGGAAGAGAGAATGCGATTATCAGTGGCAGAGACAGTGGCATACAGAAGAGTGCTTCTGGGTGCACCCCCCCCCCACATACGTTCTTTCCTTCGATATATTTCTTTTCTTTTCTGACAAAAGGGAGGAAATGAGCTCTTATGTTAGCAAAATAATGGCCTGAACTCCCGTCTCCCAATAAGGCTCATTAAGGACACCTCGGTGATAGAAGCCCGGTGAAAAATTTAATTATTTGGAAAGACTTGTTAATGGTAAAATTGAGTAAGAAACAGAAGTGACGCTAAAACGAGGGAAACGAATCAAATGAAAGTAATATGAAAGTGCATAGAGTCTTAGACTGGAGAAATGCCTACATGTTCTCATATATTATTATATAGAGTACACTCACTGCCAAGGTGAAGAACATTCAATATACTCTTTAGACCAGGGGTGTGCAACCTTTTTTCCCAAAGGGCCACTAGTCACGACTCTGTTGGTATGGAGGGCCACATAACCTTACTATTTCATGTTATTTACTACGGTTGAAGACATATTATGTGAGATTATACTGATAAAGGTAGGAAATAATTTTGTTACTGATTTTATTTATATTGGGATCACAAAAATAAGAATTCTCCGAAACAAAGGCATTTTCTTTACTATAAATTAGCAAATGAAAGGCTACCGTACCTTATTATTATAATGTACAAACATAAATAATTAGTTATTGTTGGTTGACAGGGATCATTAACAAGAATTATTATAAAAAAACAGACATTTCCTGAGCATTAATTTGCAAATGAAAGGCTACCCTAGTGAGATGGTTGATGTTGCATTTGGGACACCAACTCATCAATATCAGGCTGTATGGATGATGTGGCTACACGCAGGGTACTTTCCAAATGTTCATCAGTAAGTGAAGATCTATACTTGTTTTTAACCAGATTCATTTTTGAAAAGAGCTGCTCACATACATATGTGCTACCAAACACTGCCATCATTTCAACGGAGACTGGTGAGG